ACCTCTCGCTGCTGGAGGAACCAGGGCTGCGACGCAGAGCTCGGCTCCCCCTTCCCGTCCCCGGCTGCTCTGCAGCGGCTGCCGCGGCATCAAACGGGGCGGCGGAAGCCTCACCGAGCGAGGGAAAGGAAGGAGACTATTGTTAGCACTGTGGCCAGGGTGTGAATGTGCAGACGACAGAGGGAAGAAAAACCTGTTTGTTTTAAAGGTAGGGAGGAAACTTGTGCCCCCACCCGGGGAAGCACCCTATATGCTGGCAAGAGGCCAGCAAGAACCCCAGGTCACACACACACACATACACACACACACAGGAGGCTTGTGCTGTTTCTTTTCTCTTTCAACCCCCCAGAAACTCCCCCCCGCAGAGATGAGACCCTGCCTGAGGGGAGAGCGAAGATGCTAGTTCATGCAGGACTGGGCGAGGGGGCCGCCCACCAGCAGGGCATCAGGCGGCCTCCCACTCCCCACTGGCTCTGGGTGACATCTGGCAGCCTGCAGGCCGGATCCAGGTGTGCAGTGGAAAGACGGACAGGAATGCGCCTCTGGGGGAGAACCCCGCCTTCCTCAGGTCGACGCCAGCTCGCTCCACGCCTCCGGGGCCTGTGCAGGGCAGATGCGCTGTTACTGGCGGGCACTGCGAGAGCCTCGGAGCAAACGCTGCTAACATCTGCTGGGGATGAGGCTTCGGGCAGGGCCGGGTCTCTGGGTGTTCCCTTTCACCTGGGAAGGGTGCAGAGGGCTGACAGTACTCACACCCCCTTTCCCGGGGGCACCCAGAATCTCTGGAGTCCCGCTTGGGTCACCGGGTTGGAAAATATTTCCCGGGTTCGCAGTGCAGGGTGTGGAATGTGACTGAGGAGAAGGGCAGGGAGGTCAGACATGCCTGTAAACACCGAGTGGGAGGGAGGAAGGCCTTCGCGTCATGGCAGCGCGCAGACCTTAGGGGTCTCTGCAACGCAGCCACCTGGAAGGCTGGGCTTTTCACCCGACTCTCTTCGGGGGTGAGTTTCTCCTAATGTCTGACAGGCCGGGGAACAGTGCCAGGGTCAGAGGACCCAGCTCCGCTTCTATTTCTGGCACCCAGTTCCGGGTGGTGGGCCTTCCTTTCCTCTCTGCAGGAACGGGGTGAGCCAGATGGCTCGGAGCCGCAGCTCCCTGTCTGCCAGGTCCAGTGCCCCAGGGAGGGGGGCTCTGGCAGCTCCCGAAGGCAAGTCGGCTCCTGACTCCCTCGCTAGCTGGGCAGCCTGGGGCTGCTGTCGGGAAGGGCCTTGCCTGACTGTGCAGTGAGTTTAGGTAAAAGCCTGCCCAGGCCCCGGAGGCTCTGTGATTTCCAGGGCAGCGGGCGAATTTCTGCAGCTTGGGCGCCTGCAGGATCCCTGAGTCAGTGCAGGCCTCACAGCTGGCAGGTGTGTGGGGGACAGAGCCCCACAAGGGCCTGGTGCAGACGGGGGTGGAGTGTCGGGAAAAGGCCTGGAGGCTGCTCCAGGGTGAGACTGCTTGGACGGGCCTGGGAAGGCTCCTCTTCTGAATCATGGGCCTGCAGCCCTGGCTTTTCTGCCGGAAAGATCTGTAACTCAGCAAGATGGCCTAACGTTTACACACACGTGGGGGAGGGGAGGGGAAGGAAGAAAAGACTGAAAAACAAAGAGACCTCTCCTGGCTGTACCAAAGGCATCTATCCTTGAAAGAAATCATTTTCCGAGCATGCCCAGAAGCTGCAGTATCTTGTAACTGGAACTAGGTAAGAATTAAGGCCCTAAGATGAAAAAGGGGAAGACTAATTCCTAAAGGCAATGGGCATTTGCCTGAGGGCAACCTGTACTCTTATTTCTTTAAGGAAGTGAGAAGGTGCAGCTCGCAGGCACCGCCGGGACTGGCTCGATCGATCGGCTAATGGAGGCAGTGTGATCCTGCAGATGAAACAGGTGTCGGAGGTGAGGACCTGCAGCAGGTTACAGCTCTGGGTGACGGGGTCTCCGGGACACAGGGGCTGTGGTTTGGGTCCCCAGGGAAGAATGACAGTGGCCATGGGAAAACAGGAGCAGGGAGGCAGAGGCAACCCCAGGACGCGGGCGGCTCTCAGCCGACCTCTGAGGACACAGCCTGCTCAGCCAACTGCATCCTGACACAGGTGTCGCCGAGCCCTGTCTGAGCCCAGGCCCAGGCCCAGCACAAAGGGACCCGGGCCAAATGGGTAGGCTGGTGGGGCTTGGCAAGGGGAAGAGGCGCAGTCGGGCTCTGTAAAGAAAACCCTGCCTTGGGTCTCCACCTGTTGGGTGGGTCTGGCCTGGGAGGTGGGGCTGAAGAAAGGGAGGGGGGGAAAGGCAGACCATGACCTTGAAGGGAAGGGCTGTGGGGAGAGCAGAGCAGGCTCTGTACTCACCGCTTCCTCTCGGTCCCCGGCTCCTCCGTTAACCTGTGCAGCACAAACACAAACAACACACTGAGGTCACCACCAGGGCCTTCTCACTCCCTGGACCTTTCCCCAGGGGCTCCCTGACCCCCGCACCCATGGGCTTCTGGACTCGCCTCTCCCTTTGTTCCTCGTAGACGGACTTCCCCCACCAGGTGTGAAAACAGAGGAGCTCCACACCACCTACAGCCAGCAGCTGCAACCCCATAAAAGCCACGGAGACCAGCGCCTCCCAGGAGGACACACTGATACTAGAATGGAACGGAAGCCCCCCGAAATCCAGGGAGTGGTTACTTCAGGGGGTACAGCCCCTGCAGTCCTGAGCGTGAACTTGGTGAGAGTGAGTTACACTCAGTGGGGCAGCGTTTCCATCCTGCAGGCGTATCCGCTTGGGGATGCGAGGCCATCCTCTCGCTCGCCCTGGATTTGTGGCCACTGCCTGGACCCTCACTGTCTTCCTCACGGAGGCCGCTGTCGGTCTCCAGACCCGCACAGGGTCCTTTACGTGTGCAAACTGCGCTTCCAGCTCTCAGCACCAGGCCTGGCAGGTCCTGGGGGAGGGATTCTGAAGGACCCAGGAGCATAAATGAGACCCTGGAGTAGCTGCGACAGATTCAGGCTCTGAAGTAACACGGGGAAGTTCTGCTTGTCTGTGCCATCTATGTGGTCTTGGTTAAAAGTGATCACCACTCAAGGTGAGGGGTGAGGGATGCAAAGTAGGAAGGGTACGCCAACAGAGCAGAAGCATTCCTCAGGACGCAGCGGACAGAGAGCCAGGGCAGGGCAGGGAGAGGCCTGAGGGGGGGATGTGGGTGGGAAGTCCAGCTCAGGTGTGAATTCTTCAAAAGTGTCCACTGACTCTCAAGGTGTTTGCATTCAGAGACGATGTTTGCCTGACAAGTTGTGTTTACATTTTGTCAGCAAGATCTCAACCCCAAAGAGGCAAATCTCTCTCTCTTTATGGTTGACAGTTACTGCTCTCCAATGCCTAGGTCAGTGGTTCTCAACCTTCCTAATGCCGTGACCCTTTAATACAGTTCCTCATGTTGTGGTGACCCCCAATTTCATTGTTACAAACTGAACATAATTAAAGCATAGTGATTAATCACAAAAACAATATGTAATTATATATGTGTTTTTCGGTGGTCTTAGGCGACCCCTGTGAAAGGGTCGTTCGACCCCCAAAGGGATCGCGACCCACAGGTTGAGAACCACTGGTCTAGGTGGCAGTAGCTACTGCAAAGCCTACAGCAAAAACTCACGCCCAGATCATGGCAGAGACTCAGAAGGTCTATCCATAAAAACACTTGGTTTTAGAACCACACCCACATAACAGCTACACTGTAGCGACAGGGACATATCCGAGGACCTTACAAGCATGTCAAACTCAAGGCCATGGGGCCGCAAGTTTGACATGCATGCTTACAATGTTGAAAGTCAAACATTTTTCTAAAACTCTATCCATCTCTAACCCCAACTCCTAACACTCTTCCCTCGGGGATGACACCTAAAAGCCACAGCAACAGAAAGGTAGGTGCTCTCACAGAAAGATTTCACAACGACATAAACTCTGGTACAGGCACTGACAGACACAGGAGCAGACACGGAGAGCGGGAGGGACAGGAAGCAGAGCTGTGATAGGGCCACGCAGGCATAAAGGCAGAGACCCTGAAGCCGGGAGACACCAGGCCAGGGGACCATCCCCAGTCCACATGTGAGGTGCAGCCTACGTCCGGCCTTGAACCAGGACTGCCGGCTAAAGCCCATGGTCCGGACTAGCCCCAGTGGTCAGGGCAGAGCCCTCTGGGCTTCGGGGATCGGAGGGAGGCTGAGGAGAGGCCATGGGAAAGCTACTGGAGGAGGGAGGGTCTACGGCAAGAGAGGCCAGAGCAGCAGCTGTTACGTCTTCAGCCAAGAGCACTCCACGTGAACGCCAGGATCTGGTTGGACTGTGTGCATGCATGCGTGTGTGCTTGTGTGGCGCATGTGTTTACATAAGTGTAAATTGATCTTTGTGTGTCTGCTTTTCACCTCTTGTACTGCAACCCTCCTGGCTTCTTCCTCAGTCTCCTATTGGCACAGGGACGCCAGTCTTCCCTACATTCCTCTGTAGCATTTCTAGATGTTTCAAACACCACTGCCCTCTGCTTCTGACCTTCAACATCCATGCCAGACCTGCCATTCTCACCCATCATCCCAGGGCGTGTCCGCCTCCTCCCAGGCCTGGCTCTGGTCACTAGATGGTTTCAGCACCTGACGGAGGTGTCCTCTGCCCCCCGTTTCTTCCTTGGCAATGCCAGTGTCCTGGCTGACACACTCCAAAGCCTCCCCTCTTATCCACACGAGCCCTATGGGCAAACACCACTGCAGACCCCCTCCCACCAGGCTTTCCCTTTCCCATCACAGCTTCCTGGCCGTATCGACCTTCTTCCCTCCCTTTCTTCCCGTCACTTAGTCTAGTCATCTGTTCAGACTAGAGCCTGGGTGTTGGAGGTAGAGAAACCGGGGTTGAATCCCAGCTCTGCCACATACTCGCTGTGCAGTTCTCCAGCGGCTCTGAGCCTTGTCTAGAACCCGTCCCTCCCGGGGCAGTGGAACCAACAGGAGGGCTGTGTCCAGCAGCCAACAGGGACCTTCCAGGCCTTCGCCGCCTCTCTCCCTGACAACGTGCTCGTGGCACATCACCCTGTTTATTTCCTTCCATTTCTTCATTTACTGACATCCCACTGCACTCGAGGCACCGTTCTAGGCACTGGGGGTACAACGCGCACAAAACAGACCAAGGGCTCTGCCTCATGGAGCTCACGTTTTGGAGGAATCCAGCAACGGACATATTGATGTGTAACAAATAACAGCTAACTCTTGCCCTAGCTGGTTTGGCTCAGTGGATAGAGTGTTGGTCTGCGGACTGGAGGCTCCTGGGTTCGATTCCCGTCAAGGGCACGTGCCCGGGTTGTGGGCTCGATCCCCAGTAGGGGTGTGCAGGAGGCAGCCAATCAATGATTCTCTCTCATCACTGATGTTTCTATTTCTCTCTCTTCCTCTCTGAAATCAATAAAAATATATTTTTAAAAAATAACAGCTCTTAAATGTCCAAAGAGAATTTTGTTGTCTGTTTGGTGAAATACAGAAGCATGAAGATTAAGAACATGGAGTTGGGAGTCAGAAGGACCCAGTTCAAACCCAGTATCTGCCACTTAATAGCTACACGATCTAAGTTTCTCTGAGCCGATTTTCTCATCAGTAAAATGGGACTGTTATTCTCTATCTCATAGGGTTGTTAAGGATTAAATGAGTTTATGTGTGGCAATCACTTGGCACAGCTCTTCACACATAGTATTAAGTAGGTTTTACATTCCAGGCACACCTCATGTTATTGCACTTCCCTTTACTGTGCATCACAGATGCTGTGTTTTTTACAAACTGAAGGCAAGAACCTCCACCTGCAATAAGATGATGACTGGCTTTATGGCGATACTCGCTTTATTGTGCTGGTCTGGAACCGATCCTGCAATATCTCTGAGGTATATCGACACTGACCTCTGCTGATACCTCTTTATTGCTTTTCTGCCCACAATCACCTCTTCCTTTTCAGAACCCTTCCCTGTACGTATAATCGTCCACTCAGAGTTTGATGATTAGCTTTTCCTGCCACTTCACTTTGTTTCCTGTTCATTTTGCATCTTGCTTTCCTAACTGTATCATAAACTCCTTGAGGCCAGGGGCAGGTTTTGTTTTGCTGTTTATCTAATTTCCTGTATCCCAACCACCTATCATTGCATCAGAAATCAGGAGGCTTTGCTGACCCACTGACACTACCGCCTCCGGGGAAACACTTGGCGACCAGTGGGGACAAGGAGGCAGGAGGAGCTGAGGGGCTGGAAGCTTTGGGGGAAGGTGGCAGCAGGAGGAAAAGCAGAAACAAGAGGGAGGGGGCGTTTGTTCAGGGGCTACACAGCTCTGCTCCCGTTCGCACTCAGGGTCCTGAGCTGCCTTTACCTCTGTCTTTCCCACTCTGCCTCTTCTCCTCTTCTTCCTCTGCACCTTCCTCTGCTGGGAAAACAAGGAGGCCCGTGACCTTGAGCACAGGACAAGCATACAGGGGGGTGAAGGGAGTCACACAGGAGGCTGGGATGACACCCTGGCTACCGGCTCATGGCTGCAGCCTCCAAGCCTCACCTCGTCTGCACCCTGTGGGGTCCAGTCCCCCACCAGGCTTCACAGGACCTACTCAGAGCCCTTAGAAGCAAGCAGAGCAGTCCGATGTCCCCTGCACGGCTGCTGGCTTCCTGGTGACCGAGCTGGGGTGGCCACCTCTTCTCTATGCCCGTTTTCCCTACGGTGATGACATCCACTCGGGATATAGCTAATATTGTGCATTCAGGTTAAAGAAAGCAACCATGAAAGTGCATGGTGGGGATACCTAGATCTACACTGGCTTCCGTTAAAACAAACAAACAACAAACAAACAAACAACTAGAGGTTTTAGCTGACAACAATCTTAAAATGACTGAGCAGTGCAATTGGCTTCGAGAAAAAAATGAGTGGCATCTCAGGTTGCTTTTGCAGGGGTCTGCTCGGGGAGGTCACGGTTCGCTGTGCTCTGCAGGGAGAAGACCCCCCACCGACCGGGGATCCGGAGAAGTGTGCTCAGCCCTGGGAACTCACTCACTTTGAACTGGGGCCTTGAAGCACTCGGCCACAGCCCAGTGTGGGGAGCAGGAGGGCAGAGTGGAAACCACGCCACCTTAGGGACGGCTGAGGGAACCCCCAGATAGTTGCCTAAAGAGGAATAAGGCTGAGGGAGAGCCTTGTTGTCTGCTGCCAGATACTTGAAAGGCAACAGAAAGAGCAGGAACTGGATGGACTCTGGGTAGCTTTCGAGGGTTGAGTGAGGATAAATGGGTTACAGAAAGGCGGACTGTGGCTCCCCGATAAGGAAGAACTTCCCAATGATGAGCTCACTGGAAATAAATATTCAGACAGAGGACTTTTATATCGGGAGGCAAACTGGAGCAAATGACTTCTAAGATCCCGGCCAACTTGAAGATTCCATTATTTGTGAAAATATTTCAAAAAAGATGAGGAGGGCAAGCTAGGGGTATAAATAGCAGGTCACCCTGTATAGAATAGATGTAAGGATAACCTGGACATCTGATCTCATCCTGACACCAGCTCCACGGTGGCAGTGAGGATGGGCTGGTGTGGGGGATGGCCCTTCCATGCACTGGGACACTGGCCGCCCTGCATGTAAAAACGTCTATTCCCGCATTTTATGGAGATACTGAGCCATGTGTGGGCTCGGTCCACATCTACTTATGGACGGCAGTGTTGGAGCGAGCAGCGCAGCAGTGACGGGGCCCTCGTGCGGCTGCGGGCTTGACGTTCTGTCCTGCGTGGGATAGGGCAGTGGGAAGAGCACCGACTTGGGTCCTGAAGCCCTAAGTCAGTGGTTCTCAACCTTGGCTGCACATTAGAATCGCCTGGGAATCTTTTTAATATCCTGATTTCTGGGCCCCATCCTCCGGAAATTTTGTTTCTTTCTTTGTGATGGGGTGGGGCCACAACATTAGTAACAAAGAAAGAGAATTTCTGGAGGATGAGGCCCAGAAATCAGGATTTTAAACAGATTCCCAGGTGATTCTAATGTGCAGCCAAGGTGGAGAACCACTGCCCTAAGTTCTAGGACCAGCTCTGCCCCTTCAAGCTGCACAACGTTAGGCAGATTACTTTCCTGATAACTACTCACTGCATTTCTAAAGCAAGGGGACTGGACAGCGTGATCTCTAAGGCACCTTCCAGACACATGGCACAACTCTGTGGCCACCACCCTTTCCTGCTGTGAGAGGTCGCCGTGCATCTCCTAAACCAGCGGTCGCCAACCTTTCGTACCTCACAGACCACCAATGGTCCTAACTTCCAGTTTCTGTGAAGCTGCTTGGCCTGCATGTGCTCTGTGCTTCACGATGTCCAGTTACCTCCCATCTAGTGTGATGAGCTCATGGGCCACTTATTCTGCATAAACCCTAGTAAGTTGCCAAGAGGCACATGTGTAGCTAATTTCTTGGGCCTAAAATCCCTTAAGAAATTCCCTTTAAAAGTGGGGTTTCTGAAACCTGAGGGGAGCTCTAATAGAAGGCACTTTCTAATCACTTGTGAGGTCACCTCGACGCAGTCACTGCTTCTGCCTACGTGTGCATGGAGGGGATGCTTTTGACAGGGACTGAGAAGTAGCACCAGAATCGGACAGTGTCCCCATAACGCTCCCTGCACAGGAGGACTGGATCTTAACTGCTCTGGAAAAACGAACCCCGGCCACACATTGATTCTCCCCTAAAAGACAACAGGCAGGTTCGGGGGCGAAGCCACGGCCGGACCCTGGCTGGTCCCTGACACTAAAGGCTTGGAACCACAAGGCTGGCCGTCCTGAAGAGCATGGATGGATGGTTTCGATGTCTGTGTCTGAGTGAGTGTATGTGTTTGAATAGTCCATGGAGAAACGGCTTTATATTTTTAATGAATAACCTAAGCTACCTCAAGGCATTTAAAAGCATTACATTAGGTCAAAAGAAACAAAAGAGCCACATGCTAGCAAACGAGTGACCTACAGCCCTTAGGGAGGGGACCATTGGTTAGTACACAGCAGGGGAACCTGACCACTGCAAAGAAATGAGCAAATCTCTGGCCGCTGCAGAGCTGATGGCGTCACGGGATTCTTAACGATACGATGGTATGGGAACGGCCTTTTATTTTCCTCTCTTTCCTGGGTTTTATGTAAGGAAATAAACACCAAGAGGAAAGGATCTTTGGAAAATCAATGAAATAGCCAAGTGCCGGAGAGACTGAGAGAGAAGTCACAGTGGACACTGAACTTGAGGAGGGGAGGAGGCAACAGACTCAGGTCGCGAACTTCAAGTGGAATCAGAGCCTAGTCATGGACAAAAGGAGAGAATAGGGTTTCAAAACCAAATCAAAGCGGGGGAGCAGAAAGGCAGCCGGGAGAGAGTCCAGAAGCTGTGTGGCTGGTCCGGCGCCAGCCCTCCAGGAAAGCTGCAGAAAGAGCCGGGGTCAGGGCCTAGGAGAGAGCTGTGGGGGGAGGGGGCCCTAGGGAGACACACTCAGGGAGGAGGCGCCTCATTGGACTCAGAGGCCTAAGTGCCTTTAAATTCTGCATTGTGTGCGCCCCACGCGGTGGACTCGTAAGAGGAAGCTCAGTGTGCAGCTGTCTCTGTGTGACCCCGCGTGGGAGAGACTCTCGGGGCGGGACGTCCAGTGTGGTCCTAGAAGGCAAGGACGGGTGGTGAGAGGAGGTGGCCTGTGCCCTGTGGTGACGGTTTACCACGCGGCGAGGAAGTGAGGAGCGCGTGCGGGAGAGGCGGCGCGGGCCGGGTGGGAGCTCTGGGCTTCACCTGCGTGGAGCTCCTTCACCAGGGATGACATGGTGTTGGTGATGGAGTCAGCAGCCACCAGCAGGTCATTGCGGAGGTTTCTCCTCGTACCTGAGGGGAGTCAGAGCAGATGGCGATGCCAGGTGGGTGGGCGTGGACACGAGAGAGCAGAGCCCACGACTCGGCCTGCCAGGCCCTGGGACAGCGCAGCGTGCCTAAGGGGACATGGGCCGCGGCCGCGAGGTACCCGAGTCCACCTCCTCCTCCCTGTCCTTCTCCACCTAAAGAGCAGGACCCTGCCAGCTCCAAGCTTCTCAGCCGCCATCAAAAGAGTCGGGTTCCAGAACGAACATCACTCCAAGGTGCTCCCCGGTCCTCAGCGGGGCCTCACTCTCCTGTGCTCCCACCTCCCTGTGTCTGTCTCCGCCCCAGCAGGACTCCTTGGCCGCTCATCTTCCCCCAACTGCGGAGCACGCTGGCTGCCAGCTCCTCAGACGGCTGACACTCTGACACGGAATGCCCTCAGCAAGGTCCCGTGCAGAGGCCGCCCTTCCTTCTCTTCTTGCCCCAAAGACTTTCCAGGGCAAGCGCGTGACTCTGGGAACTATTCCAGCCAATTGCTCTGGAGGAAGCAAAGTCCAGAGGGCAGGGCACTTCTCACAACCCTGAAAAAGAGCACGGAAACCCAGAGAGCTGCTCTTTGCGCACGCACACAGCCTGCAGACCTCCTGCTGGAGACCAGCCCATCTACTTGACTTATTTATACTGCATGTAAAAACCTGGTCACTTAAACCTAAGCACACAGAAGAAGTGATGCTAGAAAAATCTCAGTAAGAATCTGTTCCCAAACCCGCTCAGCTCTCGGCCATACTCTGCTCCTGGAACTGACCTTGTGCAAAGGCCTCCTGCATGTCGCCCCCGCCTCCGCTCAGGGGCTCCTGCGGACAGTGGGTGGGCGTGGAGCCAGCAGATGTTGAGCGGACGGGCATGGGCATCGGGCGGCTGCCTCCGTGAGTGGGCGACGTGTGCGGCGATCCCGTGGCCTGGGCCTGGGAGAATCAGAGAGATGAAATGTTATCTCAGGTATCTTACCTCTTTGAAGAAGGGAGACGCCCTTCTCCCTCGGCAACCTGAGCCAGCCGGCAGGGCTTCGGTTCCGTGGGGCAATGCAGGGCACGCTCACATCAGCAAGGAAGGAGTCAGGCTGCCTCCAGGACTGGAGAGAGGAAGAAAAGGAAAAAAAGAGAGGGAGAGGGGGAGAAACAAAAGGGGAGGAGGGAGAAGAGGGAGAGAAAACACGGGAAGAATGGGGGAGAGTGGGAGGGAGAGGGAGGCTAGCACAGAGAGGCGCAGGCCTTCCAGGTGGGCAGGCTGAGCAGAGCAGCTGTGGAGGGTCTGAGAGGGGCTCAGGTCACAGCTGGGAAATAATACAGTGGTTCTCAACCTTCCTAATGCCGCGACCCTTTAATACAGTTCCTCATGTTGTGGTGACCCCCAACCATAAAATTATTTTCGTTGCTACTTCATAACTGTAATTTTGCTACTGTTATGAATCGTAATGTAAATATCTGATATGCAGGATGTATTTTCATTGTTACAAATTGAACATAATTAAAGCATAGTGATTAATCACAAAAACAATATGTAATTATATATGTGTTTTCCGATGGTCTTAGGCGACCCCTGTGAAAGGGTCGTTTGACCCCCAAAGGGGTCGTGACCCACAGGTTGAGAACCGCTGAAATAATACATAATAATCTTTCAGTCTTGTTTGCAAACACATTCATAGATATTATCTCATTTGGCCCTCACAACACCTTGTGAGTAGAAAGTGCATATGTTTTTTGTATCCATTTTACAGAAGAAAAACAAGGGTGAAACAGTTAAGAGCTTCCAGTGGGAGATGCGGGAATAAATCCTTCCACTCCAAGGGCAATCACGCGATGACGCGTACTCTGCAGCTCCCAGTCTGCATGCGGCTGGCGCCTGAGCTTGTGCGGCAGGAGCCCAGCAGCTGCTGCTTCCCAGAGCAGGGCCACATGGCCTGTCACACGGCACGTGTCAAGCACGCAAGCTGAGGTCTTTGAGGCCCTCCTGCAGGGACCAGGTGAGAACGCACACATGTTCAGTGAAGCCTGAACGTTGCTTGTGAAGGCCCCGGTGCAGTTCTGGGAAAGCCTGGAGCAATGGGATATGATTTAAAGACTCTAAAGCAGTGGTTCTCAACCTTCCTAATGCCGAGACCCTTTAATACAGTTCCTCATGTTGTGGTGACCCCCAATTTCATTGTTACAAATTGAACATAATTAAAGCATAGTGATTAATCACAAAAACAATATGTAATTATATATGTGTTTTCCGATGGTCTTAGGCGACCCCTGTGAAAGGGTCGTTCGACCCCCAAAGGGGTCGCGACCCACAGGTTGAGAACCACTGCTCTAAAGGGAGCTCACTGAGGTTTGGGCTCTGCTGCCTTTCAGAGCAAGGGAAACTGAATGTGGCAGGTAGACTAGGGTTTTCTGCGGAAGCAAAACTGGAAAAACATACACCAAGTGTGCTAGTGAGTTCAAATGAAAACAATTATTTTTTTGAGAGGGCGCTGGGCTAAACAGAACAGCTTGTTCTCCATCATCCTACTTTGATCCGTGTGTGTGTGTGTGTGTGTGTGTGTGTGTGTGTGTGTTTAGAGAAATGTAAAAAAAGAGGAAGCTAAAAAGTATAACATAATATACTGCCCAAATTAATAACTGTTGATATGGTATCAAAATTATTTCAGCTTAAAAATACTGCCGATAAATCTGAAGACTCCTTTCATCACCAATTCTTTCCAGTCCCAGTCCCCTCATCTTATTCCTTCATAGGCAACCATTATCAAAGATTCTGGTGTGAAACGTTTTACTGATGTGTATACTAGTATATGTAACTATGAATAATATATGACAGTTCATGCTTTTAAATTTTGTATAAATGGCATCATGCTGCACATATCATTGTACAATTTGCTTTTATCACTTAGCACACTTTTTGAGATTTTTCTGTGATACAAATAAATATGAACTTAGACCCTGCACCCGGGGGTACAATTTGCTTTTATCACTTAGCACACTTTTTGAGATTTTTCCGTGATACAAATAAATATGAACTTAGACCCTTAACTCATATTATATATAAAAACTCCCCAAATGGGTCAGACTAAATACAAGAACTAAAACTATAAAACTCTTAGAGGAAAAGATTAGGCAATGACTTTTTAGATATGACAAGAAGCATAGCTACAAAAGAAAAAATAGATAAACTTCATCAAAATTAAAAACTTTTCTTCAAAGGACACCTTTAAGAAAGTGAAATGACAACTCAGAATAAAAAAATTTTGCAAATCATATATCTGATTAGTGATTTGTATCTAGAATATTAGAGAGCTCTTACACTCAATAATTAAAGGACAAGTAACCTAATTTAAAAGTGGGCAAAGGATCTGAATAGACATTCTCCAGAGATATACAAATGTCCAATAAGCACATGAACAGATGCTCAACATCATTAGCTACTAGGGAAATGCAAATCAAAACTACAAGAAGATAGCAAGTCACACCCCAGCACGGCTATAATAAGAAGGACAGACAATAACAAGTGTTGACAAGGATGCGGAGAAACTGGAACCCTCATGAGCTGCTGGTAGGAATCTAAAACAGTGCCGCTGCTTTAGAAAACAGCCTGGCAATTCCTCAAAAGGTTAAACATTAGGTACCACATGACCCAGAAATTCCATTTCTATATATATATCTGCGCAAAAATTTGTACACAGGTGTTCATAGCAGCATTATACATAATACCCCTAAGTGGAAACAATCAAAATATCCATCAACTGATGAATGATTTGAATAAAATGATTTGACAATAAAAAGAAACAAAATACTGATACATGCTACAAAATGGAGAAACCTTGAAAATATGCGAAGTAAAAGAAGCCAGTTACAAAAGACCACACATTGTTTGATTCCATTGATATAAAATGTCCAGAACAGGCAGACCCACAGAGATAAAAAGCAGATTAGTTTTTGTCTGGGGCTGGGGGACTTGGAAGGAATGAGGAATAGAGTGCTAAGGGGTATGGGATGCTTTGGGGGGGGGTGATAAATTGTTCTAAAATTGGTTGTCATGATAGTTGTACAACTCTGTGAATATACTAACACTGAAACAGGGTGAATTGTGTGTTATATAAATTACATCTCAATAAAACTACTATAAAAAAAAAGACCCTACTAAGAAAAACAAAAAGATAAGCCATATACTGAGGAAAACATTTGCAAATTATATGTGATAAGGAACTTGTGGGTATTTGTAATAATTTTTTTGGATCTGACACCAAAAGCAAAGGCAACAAGAACAAAAATAAACAAGTGGGACATAAACTAAAAAGCTCTACACAGCAAAGGGAACCATCAACAAAATGAAAAGGCAACTTGAACGAGAGAAAATAATTGCAAGTCATATACTACATATGATAATGAGTTAATATTGAAAAATATAAAGAACTCATACAGCCCTAACTGGTTTGGCTCAGTGGAAGAGCGTCGGCCTGCAGACTCAAGGGTCCTAGGTTCGATTCCAGTCAAGGGCATGTACCTTGGTTGCAGGCACATACCCAGTGGGGAGTGTGCAGGAGGCAGCTGATCGATGTTTTTCTCTCATCAATGTTTCTAACTCTCTATACCTCTCCCTTCCACGCTGTAAAATATCAATAAAATATATTTTTTTAAAAAAGAACTCATACAACCTAACAGCAAAAAACAAACAATCCAATTAAAAAATGGGCAGAGCAACTCAACAGACATTTTCCAAAGAAGACATAAATATAAATATAAATAACTGGCCAACAGGTACACGAAAAGGCGAGCAACATCACATCCATCAGGGAAATACAGACCAAAACCACAGCGAGATGTCACCTCCCCCCTGTTAGAAATTATCATCAGAAAGACAAGAGATAAAGTGTGGGTGAGGACATGGAGAAAAGGGAGCCCTTGTGAACTGTTGGTGGGAATGTAATTTGGTGCAGCCACTATGGACAACCGTATGGAGCAGTGATGGCGAACCTATGACACGCGTGTCAGAGGTGACACGCGTACTCATTTTTTGGGTTGATTTTTCCTTGTTAAATGGCATTTAAATATATCAAATAAATATCAAAAATATAAGTCTTTGTTTTACTCTGGTTGCAAATATCAAAAAATTTCTATATGTGACACGGCACCAGAGTTAAGTTAGGGTTTTTCAAAATGCTGACACGCTGAGCTCAAAAGGTTCGCCATCACTGGTATGGAGGTTCCTAAAAGCAACTCCACTTCCGGGTAGATGTGCAAATAAAATGAAAATGGGATCTTGAGAAGGAATCAATACCCCATATTCACTGCAGCATTAGTCACAATAGCTAAGATATGGAAACAACCTAAATGGAGAGAGATGATGTGGTGTGTACATATAAGGGAACCTTACTCAGCCCTGAGGAGAAGGAAGTCCTGTTGTTTGTGATAACATGGGTGGACCTTGAGCGTATTATGTAAATGAAATGAGTCAGACAGAACACGATGAATACTGCACTTAGACATGGAATCTAAAATATGTCAAATTCATAGAAACAGAAGAGAAAAGTGGTTGCCAGGGGCTGACAGGTGCGAAAAATAGGGAGAGGTTGGTAAAAGGGTACAAACTTTCAGTTATTAGGTAGTAAGGTCTGAAGATAGAAAGTATAATATGGAGACTATAGTTGATAACATGGTATTATACAATAGAAATTTGCTAAGAGAGTAGAACTTACATTTCATACTCACATGCAAAAAGATTATATATATATATATGTATATATATATTTTTGATGGGTCTGTCAATTAACTAGATGGGGGGAATCCCTTCATGATGTATATCAAATTACCACAATGTACACTTTAAGTATCTTACAATTTTATGTCAATTATACTTACATAAAGCTGAAACACAAAAATAAACCAAAAAAAAACCCCACCCCCTGAATTCAGGACACATAACAAAC